CAAGCCACTGACAAAGAACAAATTAAAATATACCAAGAAAGAAAAGCTTGTAGTTAGTTCAAGGATCGCTGGCCTTTAAGAGTGTTTTTGATGATTTGGTCATTTTTTTGCAGGAGGTGTTGTTTGTTTGTTCTGAGATCTGTACTGGGAATAGGTGGTTACTGATTGTCTGGCTATGTTTTCCTAGAAGAATTTTTAACTCGTTCAAGGAATCATTTTTCAGCATGTATGCTCAGTGCAATCTGTGTTGTGATTTCTCATTTGTTTCTTCAATGGTTGCTTATCGTGCATGACAGTAATATGGCATCATTGAAAACTTCAGTGGTTTCTCTGTGCATCATGCTAGGTTGAGAAAATAATCTAAGAAGTTGTCCTAAATATGGAAGAGCACGGAAATAAGATTGGAGCAAGCCTTATTAATAACTTATAGAGTACAGATGACATAATACTGCATACCATAAGGTAATCTGACTTGACTACAGATTAACACCAAGGACTGGTCCCTTAACTATAGATTACAGCTCAATGAAAGAAAACCAAAATCCTCACTATGGGACCAAAACAAATTGCCATGAAAAATGGAGACACGATTGAAGTTGTCAAGGATTTCATCTCACTTGAATCTCCAGTCAGTATTCACAGGAGCCACAGACAAGTGATGCATTTTCCTGGGCAAATCTGCTGCTCAAGACCTCGTTAAACGTTTTAAAAGCAATGTATGTTTGAAGACTAATATGTACCAGGCCCAAGCTATTTTATTTTTAATTGTGTCATATGCCACTGAAAGTTGGACAATGAATGAGCATGTTTAAAGGCGAAACGATGTATTTTAATTATAGTGTTGTGAAGAATTTCAGAGTGATACACTGTCAACTGTATCTTGGAAATTGTACAGTTATAATTCTTCTCATAGTAGATACTATGAATATTTCATCTTAAGTATATTAGATATGTATTGAGAGATCACTCCATCGAAAAGGACATCATCCTTGATAAAGAATAATGCCATTGAAAAAAGGCTGCACTTCAACAAGATAGAACATCACCGTAATTGCAACTGAGAGCTCAAACTTGACAATTGTGAGGATGAAGCAGGACCCATATGTGTTTCACTCTTTATAATTGTTCTTATTTTGAAGTTCTCTGTGCCTAGCTTAATTATTGGTAGAAAAAGTCTTGTCTATATATTTACATAACATTAAGCATCCAAGGTTGTTTCGGTGCAGGAACATAGTTAAAGACCCCTAGTGACCCTACATGAAAGAGAACAACTTTCTGAAAGGATTTTTTTCTGTAATACTGATGGGCTAAAGTTATCAGGTCTTTAACCAACTGAGTCGCCATGTGGTTTTGAACTGCCAACCTTTTGGCAGAAATTGAGCATTTAACCGTGCTCACATAGTTTTGTGGTCCAGGTTCACCTCTGTACGATTTACATCCATCTACTTTTACTTTCTACAGGTGAATACTTCTGTGCATGTTGACTGGTCTTAAGACATTAGGTAGAGTACTTCAAAGTCAGTACTATTACTATTATTTGTTCCTTGAGTATTTATTATGGGATGCTGTCCTAGGCATTGTATGACTTTAGTAGTAACCTGGGCACCATCTTCAGTGCCAGAAACACCTCCCAGAGTTGTGAAAACTAAGAGTGACTCCGATAATAGCCAACTACCCAATAAGACATATCAAGGAATTGATGCATTTGGGTTATGGTGTGGCAGTTTCAGAATCTCTTGTCAACTTGCGAAGGGATGGAGTCTCACCTGTCAATCATGTCTCACAGCTTGATGACTTCATTTGGAGGTCCAAAGGAGATAAATAGCTCACTGGAAGCCAGACCCAGATAGAATCTCTGCGTGTTCAGACATTCCTGTTTACAAAGCAACATGGAGCTACACCAATGCACCCAGAACCCTGGAATTGGAGGGGCACCGTGGTGGCCCATGCCAGTGCTGAGATGCTTCCACCATCACAAGATCCACAAGACTTTCCACCCACTGGCCTGTAATCCTCATCATTGCATGTGTTGCATGAGTCTGAAGAAGAATTAATAGATTTGTATCTGACATATAGGCTAATATTGGACTTGCGGACTTGATCTGAGCTGGGATGTTTTCTTAATATACAATTACTCAGATATAAAGCTCTTTCTTATACACATGTGAATGTCTCCCTGAATTTGTTTATCTAGTCTACCCGGACTAACACATGGTGTTAGAGAATAATGATAAATCTGTCATGGGCTGCCTGAAGGACAAGCAGGCCTGTCTTGGAGTAAACACATCTTGTTTAATCCTTGTAAGCATTCAAGTAAGATTTTATCTCACTTATTTGGGGATGACATTAGGAGGAACCAGAACCCAGAGAATAGTCTTGTGCTTGGTAAAGTAGAATGTCAATGAAAATGGGAGAGATTTTCAATGCGATGGATTGTCACATGGCTGCAATGATGAGTCCAAAGAGAGGGATGATTGTGAGGATAGTGCATTTCTGGGCAGTAATTCCTTCTGTTTATACTAATCTGGGTATTTAGAGAAACAAATCCAGAGAAATTTATATGTATAATAGAGTTTTATATAAAGGTTAAGTAAACATCAAGAAAA